ACTAACTTTAAATCATTTTTTATCTTATAAATGATCTTAAATCAAAATATTTTTCATTTTTGGTTAAACTAGATCATAATTGGATATTAGTATCACGAAACATAAAGCAAAAGCTATCCATTGACAATAAAAATCTATTTATAGTCACTTATACCTTCAATAGTCTTATTACTTGCTTTAAATGGTTTTTGAATCTTATAAATTATTTTAAATCAAAATATATTTTATTTTTAGTTAAAACAGATCATAATTGGATGTTTGCATTGGAAAACATGAAACGAAAGCCATCCATTGATAAGAAAAGTCCATTTATGGTAGCTTATGCTTTCGAAAGCCTTGTTACTCGTTTTAAATGGTTTTATAATCTTATAAATGATTTTACATGCAAAGATTTTTTATTTTTTTGTTAAAATAGATCAAAATTAGATATTAGTATCGAGAAATGTGAAACGAAAACCATTCATTGATAAGAAAAGTCCATTTATAATCACTCATACCTTCAATAATCTTGTTACTCGCTTTAAATAGTTTTTGAATCTTATAAATAATTTTAAATTAAAATATTTTTTATTTTTAGTTAAAACAGATCATAATTAGATGTTTGCATTGGAAACATGAAGTGAAAACCATCCATTGATAAGAAAAGTCCATTTATAGTCACACATGCCTTCGAAAGTCTTGTTACTTACTTTAAATGGTTTTATAATCTTATAAAATTTTTTAAATTAAAATATTTTTTATTTTTAGTTCAAACAAATCATAATTGAATATTTGTATCAGGAAACGTAAAGCAAAAGCCACCATTAATAAGAAAAGTCTATTTATAATCACTCATATTTTCAAAAATCTTTTTATTCGCTTTAAATGATTTTTAATCTTATAAATGATTTCCAATCAAAATCTTTTTTATTGTTAGTTAAAACAGATTAAAATTAGATGTTTGCATTAGTAAATGTGAGGCAAAAACCATCTATTGAAAAAAAAAATCCATTTATAAGTACTCATACTTTCAAAAGTCTTGTTACTCACTTTAAATAGTTTTTTAATCATATAAATAATTTTAAATAGAAATATTTTTTAATTTTTGATTAAAACAGATCATAATTAGATATTTGTATCGAGAAACGTGAAGCGAAAACCATTTATTGATAAAAAAAGTCTATTTATAGTCACATATACCTTTAAAAGTCTTGTTTTTCGCTTTAAATGGTTTTTTAATCTTACAAATTAGCAATGTTAGGTCGATAATAATGAGAAAAAAAATCCAAGAGGAGAGTGAATTGGATATTTTTTAAAAGTTCTTTTCAACAAATTTAAACTTTTTATGAAGGCAAGTTTGAAAATATGTTTCTCAAATTTGTTTTCACTTTAAAACATGTCAAAAGTAATTTAAGCAAAGTAATGACCAAACAAGTTGAAAACAATTTTTCAAACTCTTTAAGGTCAAATGCACCAGTGTAAAATTTCATAAACTTCCAATCAAGCCAAGCTAAAAATAATCTTCATAAATTTTTTTTTCTATCAAAGTGTGTCAATAATAACTTGAAGAGTAAATTAAGGAATAAACAAGTTAAGAACAAATTTGATAAATTCTTTAATGTAAATGCATAAATTCAAGAAGTGAAAAATAAAGAGAGAAGACATAGTATTTTTATAAAAGTTCGGTCTCCTTGCATACGTCCTCTCCTTTAGGTCATTAAGGAATTTCAAATCCATTATGTGCTGGCTCCATAAGTTTTTGATGATAATAAAACATTTCTATTCATTAATGTCTAACTATACTACTTGAGTATGCAGGGTAAAAATATATGTCAATAATAAATTAATTACTGGAAAGCAAACATTAAAACTCATCAGAATAAGAAATTATAAATGAGTTACAAATAGAAGTTTCTTAGTCGGATAAATAAGGGAGTTAGTCAACTAAAATCCAAAACTGAAATTGACTGCTTCAAAGACAGTAAGCTCTTGCTCGATTAAAGTCTTACTAAACCAATTAACAGAGTAATGCAAATTGCGAAATAGAGAAGACTTAATTGACTAAGAAGTATGGTTAATCAACTAAAAACTCACTATTTGAGAATTTAAATTTGAATGTCTGAAGACAAACTAACGGCTATAAAGAATCCTAACCTGTTTTCAATAGTTTGAAGCTATCAACATCCATCAGAGTTAAGTTTTTAGGTATAAAAGACATCTCTAACGGCTAAGAAGAAAAAAAGATGCTTCCCATAACAAAAAGAGCCCAAAAATAGCAAAGATTCTCTCAATTCTTCTTGCATTTTACTCCAATCTTTGTAATAGAGTTTAGCATTTCATCTTGTACCATTTAGATTAAGTTAGTGATTATAAGTACTTCTTGACATCTATACTCCTTGATTACTTAGAGTGTGTGAGGCACTCTAAAGAGGATTAATCAAGCTTAAGTTAGTTTGGTTGCTATTGTAGGTTCTAACTTAGCCTTAGAAAAATTAGTTTTGGGTTTTGGTTGATCTTGGGAAAAACCATTGTTAAATGTTGTGGTTGAGGCTATGAAAAGCCATTGAAAAAGCTTAGTGGAAGCTTGGAAATTCTACCGATTCTAGTAATTTGGTTTGAAAATCATTGATTGGAAGATTAATATAGTGGGTGTAGGTTAAAGAGATCGAACCACTATAAATATTTGTGCATTGTCTACCCTATTTTATTTTTCATTTCATTCTTCTTGAAATCATTCTTTCATCTAGGATTTAACTTCTCATCATTGATATTTAACAAGCTTTGAATTAGAAGTTAAGTTTAGTGACATTCAGAAAGTGCTATTCACCCCATCTCTAACACACATCTAGGGACCAACACTATAAAAAATACTTTTTGAGGTTCAAACATAACTTTTCAATGCCTTTCAAGGATCAAGCACAACCTCTTAATACAATGCCTTTTATGGATTCAGTACAACCTTCATTATGCCTTTTAAAGGCTAAGGCGCAACCTTTTTTCTCTTATAATTGAATAGCAAGGATATCTCTAGAAAGTGGATTTTGTTAAGTAAGTACAATGTAGGAAGAGTGTGATCAGTGTAAAAATGATTACAAAAGATAGAAATGAAGACACAAAGGAATTATAGCACAAAAAAGCTTAAAAGCTTGGTGGAAGAATGTGAATTGCTTGCTCTAGCTTGGTTTCTCTCTTTTTTTTTTCTTCATATAATTTGATTCTTGATCAAATACTGTTTTTCTCCACTCTTTTAATCTTGTAAATGTGTTGGAGGAGTCCTTTTTATAATTGAAGAAGCTTTAGAGCCATGGGAGAAGGTTTGGTGAAAAAAATAGTCATTTGTCCTTTGATTTTCGTGTGTAATGGCAAGTTCTAGACCAAATGTATGGATACATTTTGGAATGTATTGATACATTTGAAAATGTATCCATACATTTTGGGCAGAACCATTCTATTTTAAATGTGTCGATACTTTTGACCAAACTATCAATGCTTGTAGCTTAAAACATAGAAAATTCTTCATTTTTAACCCAATGTGATGCCAAATACTTGAACATTTCAAAATCAAATGCATAGGAGGTTTAAAACTAATTTAAACAAGTTTAAAAGCTATTCAAACAAGTTCAAAAATCGTTAAAGCAGTTTTCAAAACTCATTCAAGTAATTTTGAAACTTTTCACATAGAAACACTTAAAAACTTCAAAACTTATTTAAAAAAAATTAAAACCTATTCAAACAGGTTCAAAAACTCATTCTAACAATTTTAAAAATTATTCAAACAAGTTCAAAGATCATTTAAGTAGTTTTGCTCATTTTTCACATGAAAACACTTACGCACTTCAAAAGCAAATGTATGAGAGTTTTTAACATTAATAAACTAAGTTCAAAAACATTTTCAAACAACATCAAAAATCATTCAAACAAGTTCAAGGATCACTCAAAGAAGTTCAAAGATCATTGAAGCAATTTTAATCACTTTTGTCATTTGAAAACTATAATAATTTAAAACCTGATAAAGCTAGCATAAACTATTTTAAATCAAACTTTTTTCGTTTGTGGTGAAAACATATTATAATTGGATGTTTGTATTGAAAAAAGTGAAATGAAAGTCATGCATTGATAAGAAAAGTTTATTTATAGTCACCATACCTTTGAAAGCCTTGTTACTCATTTTAAATGATTTTATAATCTTATAAATGATTTTAAATTGAAATATTTTAATTTTTGGTTAAAATAGAACATAGTTAGATGTTTGCATTTAAAAACATGAAATGGAAGCCATCCAATGACAAAAAAGGTCCATTTATAGTCATTTATAGTCACTTATTTCTTCAAAAGCTTTATTACTCACTTTAAATGGTTTTATCATATTATAAACGATTTTAAATCAAACGACTTTTTGTTTATGGTTAAAATAGATTATAATTGAATGTTTGCATAGAGAAACGTAAAGCAAAAACCATCAATTGACAAAAAAAAATCTATTTATAGTCACTCATGTCTTCGAAAACCTTGTTGCTCACTTTTCAATGATTTTTTAATCTTATAAATGATTTTAAATCAAAATATTTTTAATTTTTTGATTAAAACAGATCATAAGTGAATATTTTTATTATTTAATTTATAAATTAAATAATGAAATTATTTTAATGATAGTTTTTTCGTTAGAATTGTAACAATGATTTTTTTTTTTGAAAAATAAACTGACCCAATTCAACTCATGTGACAAGGGATAGATTGGATTAAGATCTTGACAACTCATGTCAAAAATACACTGATCTAACCCAACACATATTTTCTCAATCCATAATGTTTTAGGTCATACTAAACCAACCCATATTGACACCTCTAGTTAATATTTATCAATTAGGTTATGAGGTACTCGAAACAAATCTATGCCTGGCTAAAACAGACCTAAACATAACGATGAGAATCACGAGGTAACTTGCCGATAAAGATAAATATAAGAGAAAATCAATTATAGAAAGAAATAAACTACTTGTTTACTTAGTTTCTTCTTTGGCTCAGACAAACAAATAATCCACTTAGATTTTACTCCATGTCACAAAATGTGAATGTTTACAGTAAAAGGGGAAAAATCAAAAACATACAACAGTCTTTATGTAGATTACAACCAACAGACGTATCACTACTCCAATGCAAATACACTTAGTCTTCATCATCAGAACTTGCATATGCTAAGCCTAATAAGGATTTGGCAGGGTTTTCAACCTTATTCTGCTCTTCTGCTTTATTTGATTCCAAAATTGTATGTTCGTTCTTGTTCTCTTGGTTGGACTCCCTGGAATTGGTCAAGACAGAACCACTTGGATGTAAATTTGATTGATTTCTGTCAGGTGGGCTTGAAAATTTTGGCCGTTTGGGTTTAACCTCGACAACCTTTTTCAACAAATCTTGCTGTCTACAGAAGCAAGGTAAACATGGATTAGACCTGATAACACAACAGAGTGATAAATAAAATTAAGGGAGCTGGTGTCTGTAAATGCGAATGCTTTTATGTGTGCCTGCCTGTGTAGCATGCATGTGGTCTTGCATGTTTGTGAACAGGGAGAGAGAGAGAGAGAGAGAGACCTGATCCCGCTCTTTGGCTTGGGTTCAACACGAAGAGGCAAGGGAGACAATGCAGGTGAGGAATCTGCTAAACTTGCAGCTTTGTGTCAATTGGTTAAGAAATGCAAGAACCATGTACCATCAAGGGGAAAGGCCTCTGGGTACTAACTTGGATAATAGAGCTTAACAGAATGAGTGTAAAGCATTCAAAAAAATGGAAAGCAATGCTAGAATACTAATAGTCACTAAAGGTATCAACATTTTTATTCCCCTTGTCTGTCAAAGCTATACTTGGAATTGGAAAGAGAAAAATAAATGGACATAAAATCAAGAAAAAGACAATTACTTTAGGTGCGGGGATATGCTGTATGGTTGCAACAAAATGAAAGAAGCAAATCAGAGTGGCAATGTACAATCGGGCTCGGTAGAAAACTAAAATCGGTAAATCTAATAGATAGGAGAAACACCATAACCAACAAAAATAACTTTTTCCTTTTACAATCATAAGCTCTTGGTAAATAAAAGTGTCAGTGATGAACCTACAGATTTACTTCAGTATCTAATACTTTAAAACAAAATCATGCTTGTCCAAAGTATATTACCATCTACCAAGTTGCACCAAATGTTATAAACAAAACAAAAAGCAAGCGGCAGCGGCAGCAGCAGGCAGCAAAGTGAAAGCAATGTAATATCAGACAAGAAATGAATGCTCTAAAAGCACATGGCAGTGGATTCAATGAACTGTTTCCACAAATAAAAAAAAAAAAAGGCTCAAAATGTACATGCCAGGCCCCAAGAAGAATCACAAATCATATTGACACTAGCATATTTCTGAAGTTGTTTATTTAGCTGAACATTAAAGGATATCTTGAAAGCAGCAAATGCTCGTTTCTCAGTGCGGCGCAGGAGGCGTTCAGCATCCTCCTCAGCTTCCATCTGCTCCTTGAGATATAGCAAATCATCACTGTCCAAGGCTGCATAAATACTACATAACAATATATAGGTTTACCAAAAACAAAACAAAATAAAATAAAATAAAAAGAGCATCGGGGCCCCAAGGTGTAAGGGCAGAGAGATAAGGGGTACCGCCTCGCCCATGAAGGTAGCCTCCACGCTCTCCTGCAACCTCTTGCATCTGCTTGTATCAAAAACCCAATCGGAGAAGCCAAGTTCCCTGCCAGGGCATGTTATCAGAAAACTACATTCACATTTTTTATTTACAGCACCATATTGATGCCAGCCAGATTCATTAGGCCCAACTAACTACTAAAATTAGCGCAAAAAGCATCAATCCTTGCACTTCTAGTTCTACCATTGTCATAGATATAATGGTAGGCCATGGCACAGCTCTGGAAGTGAAAACAATAAGCGTGAAGGAGTGGATGGTTTAGGCCTTGAGGAAGGTGGTTTCTTCCTGTTGGAACAAAAGGGAGGGGTGTTGTGCAGGCTGTTGCTGTTATATTGGTCAATTTGTGTTACTGTTATGTACAACTTTATCTTTTACTTTATTTTTATGATAATTGAACTATAGGGTGGAATTAGCAGTAAATAGAGACACAAAACAAAGAAGTAAGCAATGTGTTGAATATTCAGGCTCCATTCTTTTGCAAAAATAGATTTCAAGAAAATGAAAATTTTATTTAAGGCATCTTAAAAAAATGGTCAAATTACAAAGTTTTATTATTGAGGAAACTACTTAATGATAGAAATTAATAAAAAATTTCAAGATCATTTGTAAAACTTATCATAAAAGAATTCCAACCCATAAAATAATGTACAAAATTTTGAACCATCGACATTTAATATGAAATTTATTAATGAGCCATCTTCAAAACTCTTTATCCAAAATCTCAACCCTAAACGCTAAACTCTAAACCCTAATAATAATGATGATAATAATAATAATAATAATAATAATAGCTCTATATTTTTCCTTAACACCAAAAGAATTATCATCAAATCATCAAGCCCATAACCTCGCATGAAAATCTGCTAATGCCACACAAATAATGCCTTTTCTATTATCATCAACAAAGCCAACTCAAGCTAAATTTTCAAACAAATTAATCAAGGCCTACACAAAAATAAAAAAAATTTGAGGTTAAGAAATAAAAGCCACAAAAAAATCACATAAAAATTAAAATTGGAGCACCAAATCTTGAAAAAGAAAACAGAAAGTAGTTGACAGTGATAAGTTGCAACTTGCCACGCATAGCAGCTGGTAAACACTACAACAAGCGGTCTGCTCTTTGTGGAAGATTAAGGAAAGAGAGTAATAGAAGAGGGTGAAGGGGAAGAAGTAAAAGGAAAAGGAAGGCAAGGTTGCAGGCAGAGTAAACGAATGATGGTGAAGGGAAGGGAGGCGTGTTGCTGACAGCGGAAAAGGGAGGAGATGGTGGGTTGCTGGTAATGGGAGGGTTTGTGTTATGAAGGTCTGGGTGTTGTGGGTCTTTAATGATATGAAGAGATTGGGTGATTTTTTATCCTTTCTGAATTATTTTCCCAAAAGGAAAATGAAGACAACTTCCCCAAATCTCTGAAGATTTTCAGTTGACCAGAAATCTTATTTAGACTGAGCATTTAATTTTCTACCAGGAAATAAGGAAAATGGTTTCGAGAAGTCATTTTCAGCAAAACAAAGAGAGCCTGAAAATCTTATAATTAGATTGAGTGATCTCTATGTTGAAGAATAAGAACTGGGAAATGAATCATGCACATCTCTCTATCTCTGTGTGCATTTTCAAAGGTTCCATCTTTTTGTTTGAAATATTTATAACAGACCACAAGTGAAGTCATAACCATCACGTAGACATATGCAGCTTTGTTAGACAAACGCTGTTACATATTAATTTAGAGGTAAGTGATCCAACGGTTATTGCCCACAACCCAATGTGTCCTCACATGTATTCTGCAGGCCAACAATCTCCCCACGGACAAGAAGGGCTGTTTCAGTGAGGCTAAGGAGGCTAGAAGTGCGGATTGCACGAAAACAAACACTATTATATATATATATATATATATATATCGTATCATATCATATCAATAAGCTAAATAGCAACAAAAGAGTAGAGAACTCGGGAAAAAAAAAAAAAAGAACAGGCAAGCATCGCAACTGCCAGCAGTGGTTCAAAGCGCTAGTGCAAGATTCAGTTTGAAGCAAAAGATAAGATTTGACATCATAACATTCCCATAAAACCTAAAACGGAAAGAAACAAATACTTGCCACCCATAAGAAAGAATCGCGGAATTCCATTACAAATTCAAGAGATACAAAACAGGAGAGGCGACGCTCTAACCTTGGCCACCATACGCTGGAAAGCAACATCTTCATCGTCCGGTTTGTCTTTCCCTTTGCCCCACTTCTTATCTGCAATTCACTTTTATTTATAAACATTAAGAACAAATCGCCAAGCCCTCCAATTCCAGTTTGATTTACACTTACCTTTGGGGTCGCTCAGGTTGGTGTACTCACGAACTTCTCTCCCTGCCATATTTCAAAAATCAACAACGAAAATGGGAACTGGGGTTGGACTTCGGAGGGTTTTCTACCAAAACCTAACTGGAAATTTTTATTTCGGAGTTTCCCGACCCTTCCTTGACCCTCCGTCGGCTGTCTGACCCAAAGTCCTCACTGTCCTTCGTGTGGGCTTTAGGCCCTAGTGCAAGGCCTAACACTAAAATTTGAAATTACCCTTTTCTGTCTTCATTTTGCCTTTAACAAATAGATTTCTTTTACCATATGTACAAGCTTAAATTATAATCATAACATTATAAATCAAAAAATGACCCAACATATAGTTGAATAAAATTTAATATGACATTGGATTGAATCCACACGTAATGTAAATTTGAAACTTAATTAAAAGTATTGTTATATCATTGAAATATCATCTCATTAGCTTCATAAATAGTAACTTTTTTCTACCAAAATTTAAAAGCAAATAATAACTTAAAATATCTTCATACTATTGTCAATGATAATAATAATAATAGCTAAAAATAATGCAATTTAAATTTAAAACTTAATTAAAAGATGCTCATATTATTGAAATAATATCCGTTTGGCTTCAGAAATAGTAACTTTTTTTTCTAAAAAATCAAAAGCAAATAGCAACTTAAAATATCTTTTTTGTATTATTGTCAATAATAATAATAATAACAATTGTCGAGTGCCTATAGTGGATTGATTTGACCTAACTCATTAATAAAAAATGAAAAAAGTGATAGAAGGAATAAAAATTTTAGTTGCCCACAAATTCAAAAAATGACTTCCTTTCACAACTCTCCAAACATTAAAGAAAAAGAGGAAACCAAAAAGATAGCCATCCTCTAAAAGACTAAAAATCTATCAAAAGAATAAAGAAGAGATAGGGCTGGCTTTAGGTTAAAATCACCAAAGCAAAAGCTTTAGATCTCAAATTTTCATAAACTCCATACTTTTATAATAATATAATTAATTATATTAAAAAGGCACAAAAATTAAGATAATTAATAAAATATCTACTTATTCTATCATGTCAAATAAATATTTATTTTCTCTCATTTTCACTTCTTTATTAATTCTCAACCATTTATCTTATTTTTTATTAAAAATATGTAAAAGTCAAAATAATTAATAAAATGAGGTATTATCTCACTTTTCTAATTATGTGCTTGATAAATCTCATATTTTTATCACTTTTCAAATCTCACAACACCATTAATTTTCAACTCTTATTCCCAATCAATTAAAGATAATATGTATTTAATGCTCTCCACTCGTTTTTTTTTCCTATATATAAAACTAATTTTTTTCAATTAATAATATCTACTTATGAATTTTCTTTCCTCATTTGCTCTTTCTTTCTTTTAACTTCAATAATAATAAAACAAACCTTTTTTTCTTAATTTCAATAAAAAATGCCTCAATTGAATATTTAGTTTTAAACTTTTAAAGTTATTGAGTCAGTCAGCCTTAAGAAAAAAGAAGGCATGATAGGTGATTACATTCTAGACTATAAACGACATTGAAGACTTGTAATTCATCTAAAGTCTTGGAGAATTTGACATATAAGTTTAACAAGGCAAAATTTTTTTGTTTTAATTTATCTTAATATTCTCTATTTTATAATTTATCAAGCTGGTTAATGCAACTTTAATCATTTGTAAATAATAGTTTTATACATGTTAGTAAGGAAGCAATGTTGTCACTTTTAATTAAGTATACAAGGTATGTTCATACATGTAAATACACATAGCTACCCGCACGCGCGTGCGCACACCCAAACACATATATCAAAATTGAAATTGAAGAAACAATTTGTTCCAATATCCCAAATGCTTTCTGGGAAAGAAAAAAATAATAGATTTCCTTACCTTACACAAAGAATTTTGATGAAAAACAAATCCCAACAAAAGCTAGGGCAATTCAAATGAATCAAGAAATGGAAGAATTCTGTAAAAGAGAAATCCAAGATTTATTGGACAAAAAATTAATTAAAAAAAGCATAAAAACTCTACCCTCTAAGAGGAAGTTAGAGGCCTTATATAGACAGCCTTACAACTGAATTTGAATTTTATTTGCTCTGAATTACATTTGTATTTGCCATTTTACTATTTGTCAGTGGACGTTACTTTTTGTTGTCCGTCACTTTTGTCTATAGGTGCAGATTCTTTTTCCCTCATGATCTTGCTTTTTACTATTTTCTCTGTTGGTGCATTTTTTTATTTAGCAAAATTTACATGTTGTCTTCTTTTAGATGCTTTTTTGGCAAAAAAGGAATATGCTTTTTGCTGTTTATTGTTTTGTCTTGTTGGTAGCTTTCACTGGCTGTCACTTTTGAATTTCATTTCTTTCTTCTAGGAGGTATATAGCCTTCATCCAAAGAAACGTCGGCTGTTGCCTTGGATGAAGTAGTTTCTTCTTCTTCCTCTGCTTGTTCTTCATCTGAGTCTAAGGAACTAAGCATTTCTGCCATGATCCTTTTATACTCAGTCTTTATTTTGCCTTGAGTAAGCAGTGCACTGACATTTGATTTTGCTTGTAGAAATTTGACATTTTTTTCAGAATTCTGAGGATTTTTGCATAGTCTTGGATTCTTCTCAAACCATGTTAGCAAATATTAAGGATCATATTTTTTTTCATCAAATTTATCCCACCATTTTATTTTGAAGGTCCGAATAACAATTGAGGCTCCTGAATGAGGATCGGTGTCATAGGAATAATCTCATAACGTAATCCATGATATAATTAATTTGGAAAAGAAGTGTATTGAAACATACAAATTTGCTTGATCTTTTTCAGGTTAAAAATTTTGAGAAAATCTTTCATATAATTGATCAATTTTTGGTGGAAAGATTTCTCTTAAAGGTCCAAACCAGTTCCACTAGTGAGAAAACCAGATTGAGAATTTATATTAATTTTCATATTTGAAAAACATTAACCAGGAGTGCTGGTTATGTTTATTGTTGAAAAGAAATGTGTTGAACCATGCCTGTTGGTAATCCCAGTAATTAAAAACAGAACAATGGTTAACTAATTTTGAAAAAGTACTTAGAAATTTTTTGAAATGGTTTAGACTTTCTCCCTAGTCTATGGGCCTTAAGACCTTTAAAATTTGAGCCGTAGAATGGGTAATTAAAGTAAGATCGTTCTGGTCAGTGTAATGTTTAAAAAGAACAGATCCTGTTTGAATCAAAATATTTTGGTAATAATTTTGAAGCCTTTGTAAGTCCCATGGCTTGTAAGGCCATCCTTGGAAAGCCTTTCTAACACCTATTTGAGGGTATTCATGGTAGAACCCTTCTTCACTTAATAGAACATTTTAGATGCTTTTCTTTTGAAAATATTGATTTTAGCATTTTTAGGAGATTGAAGACTGAGACTCTGTTTGGGAAAGAATTTGAGTGGGGAAAATATTTTGCAATTCTTTTGGTTTTGGTTTGTGGGGGGTAATTTCCTTTCTCTTGGATTTTTAAAGTGTAGAAATGGCAATTTGTTTGATAGGAGTGTCTTTTTCATTTTGTGAGGTTACTGCAAGGGCTACCTTAGGTGATTTGGAGAGGGATTCTATCCATTTTTAGATTTGGGAGTCTATCTCATTAGGGTCTTAGGCATCTTGGTATTAGTCTTGATTTTGGTTTTAGGAAGGTTCTTGGGAAGAAGTTTGGGCTTCTTCTTGTTGTTCTTGGGTACAGATCTCATACTATGACCTGATGGGTTTTTAGTTGAGAAGTAGAGGGTCTTTTTTCTTTATCTCTTTTCCTTTGTCATTACAATCTCTTAATTTGGGTGGCATTGTCTTGTAAAAGAGATATTAGGTGAGACTATTTTGGAGAGAAATAATTCTGGGGCATTTTAGGAGTTTCTGGTTTATTTTGGGAAGTGTTTTCAGTAACTAGAATCGATACAATAAAGTTCTTCTTTTGAAAATGGTTTTTTGGGTTTCTTTCTTCTCTCTCAATTTTGGGGGCATGGTCTTTCATGTAAGAATTCTCTTGTAAGAAAATCAGGTAATGAATTTGACTCCCCTTTGATATATTCAATATCAAAATCAAATATACTTAAAATGACTTGTCATCGAGTAAAAATCTGTTTTGATGCAATGTTTTGAACATCTTTTTGTAAAACTTTTTTGGCGGATTTGCAATCAATTCGCAAAAGAAATTTTTGATTTAATAAATCACTTTGGATTTTGAAATACATAAAACAATAAATAAAATTTCTTTTTTGATAGTACTCTAATTTTGCTGGGTTGGAGCTTAGTGCCTAGAAGTGTATTGGAGTATTTGTTCTTTTTGAGTTTTGACTTATTTGAGTATCCCACCATATCCTAGTTCTAAAACATCTGTCTCAACTATCTTAGGTGCATTAGGGGTCTGCTAGGTACAAGCATGGGAGTTCTTTTACATGTTTCTTTATTTGTTGGACTATATTAGTATGAATATTTGTCTATGGAATAGGATTTTTTGTGAGCCTTTGATATAAAGGTTTACAAATTTTGCTTAGGCCTAGGTAAAAATTGATAATATAATTGAAACTTCCTAAAAACCTTTATAATTGAGTTTTATCTAATATTTTATCCAGGAAGTTATCGGCGAATTTTATTGACCTTTCAATAGGTGTAATTGTGCCTTGGGTTATATAATGTCTTAAGAATCTGACTTTAGTTTGGAACAGACTAATTTTAGATTTAGAGACTATTAAACCATTCCTTTTTATAATATTAATGAAAATTTTGAGATGTTTGAAATGATTTTCCAAGTTTTCTGAAAAAACTAAAACATCATCTATATATACTATTTAAATTGAGAGTGCGGGTTGAAAATCTCATTCATTATCTTTGAAAATTCTAGAAGTGCATTTTTTAATCCAAAAGGCATTACATTCCATTCATATTGTCCAAAGGGACAATAAAGGCAGTTTTATATCTTTCACTTTCTTTGATTTGTATCTATCAAAATCCAGATTTCATGTCAAATTTTAAAAAAAATTTTGCATTACAAAGTTTTTGAAGTGAATCCTTTTTGATTGAGATTGGATACCTAATCCATTCTAAGGCTTTATTTAATGGTTTATAATTGATTACTAATCTTGATGTTCCTCTTTCTATTTTTGCATTTTTCATGACAT